TCTGTGGTTGTCTTGCCTACCATGGTTGACGTCTATCTTTTTTCTCTCCTTTGACTCAATACTTTCATTACTTAAAGCATCATCTCTAGCCTGCGACCTGTGCTGGCTTCGTTAAAGGTTTGAACCTTGAGCAAAACGCTAGGGAGTTTTAAATTAAAGAGACAAGACTCTAATTACCTTTAAACCAGCTCCGGGATGGCTTCTCCTAGCTCCCGCCTCAAGCCACCTAATGTGGTAGCCAGGTTTACAGAAGAGGAGGGAGAGGGAGAGGGAGGGGGAGGGGGAGGGGGAGGGGGAGGGGGAGGGGGAGGGGGAGAGAGAGAGGGGAGAGGGGGGGAAGAGAGGAGGGGAGAGAGGGGGGAGAGGGAGAGAGAGAGAGAGAGAAGGCGCCAGGGAGTGGACTTTTATTGGGGAACAAGAAATTCCGGGGAAAATCCCATCCAATGAAGGTTAAGGGGGGCAGCATCCCAAGGTCAGGGGCAATGATTGGGTCTCTGGGCAGTGGCCAGACACGCCTCTGCAAGGACAAGCCCTCCTACCTGGAAAAGGGTGGGGAATAGCTCTGACACAGCTTTGTCTAAGTGCCTCTCACCCAGCCAGGGAGGTAACTCAAATCATGTGCGAGGATGGCCTCCCACAATTATCAACATCAATTTGCTTTTGATAAAGGCATAACTGTAAAGCATTATCTTAAAATTCAGTAATCTCCGAAGCTTGGCTTCTGCACCGTGTGGAGGGGTTATGGGCTCTTGTTCTTTCTCTTTAGAGCTTTCCTTCTTCCTTCTCTGTAGGCTTTTAACTGCTCATGCAATTTCCCATTCGTAAGCCGATAGAAGCCAACTTCCAAGTGTATATCATATTATTATGAAGCATACTTTTGTTCTGTCTTACAACCTTCTCATTCTAGCCTAATGTCCTTAGTTTTTACACAGAGAAAAATATACATCCAGCTGTTTTTGTTTAATCAAAACAATCATCTACTTCTGAGATGATTATGTCTTGTCCTCAAAAAACAAAGTTTTTTTCTTTAACATTCTTTATTTTCTTATTATAGTGATATCACTGCCTGGCAGATTTATAAATACTTAAAACTGAAGATATTTAGGGCTTTCATAATAGCAAATGAGATTATACAAATAGAAAAAACATGATGTGGTTCTTTAAATAATGCTAATATTGATAAATACAAGTATCAAATGACTTATAAAAACAGACAACACTTGGTCTCTAAAGTTTTGTGTCTTAGAATTGAATATATTTATAAGCTATTTAGACAATGTATTCCACTCATAAGCATTTGTGTAGAAATCATAAATAGGTCAAAATACACATGAACACATAAACATACACAAAACATCGCTTTTCTTAGAAAGAGGAGAGTTATTACTATGAAGACTTCAGGATGATTCTCTTAAGGGGCTATAATTGCTTGTAATTTGAAACCTGTTCCAATGCATTTAATAACTTATATTATCAATCTTCTGAAAAGCACACTAGAAGTTCTTTTCAAACTTTAGTATGCATAGCATCCCCTTGGGAAGCTTGTTAAAACAGATTCCCTCTCTCCACACAATAAGGTCTGATGTCTCATGTGAGGGATTCACATTTGTGTACACTCTTTGGGTATATTCTAATGAATCTAACCTTTGTACCACCTTGCTCTTCCAGGGTAGAAATCGTAAATTGTTTCCAAGTATAAGATGAATCAAGACACTACATTCCAACCACAAAGATTCTGTTGACCTTCTCACAATGTAATGGCTTCTTTAATGAACATAAACATCAGGTTCTAAAGCTCATATTGAATTGATAACTATCAAAAATATACACATACATATGTTCTAAAATTTGTATAATGCTTTAAGTTAAAAACCACTGAAATAGCTACCTCCTATTTTCACATATCAAACAATGTGGCTGGTACAATAGTTTAAGACAAGAGAATTCTATAGTGCAAAAAAACCCAACAGCCAGTAATTAGACTTCTCTAATGTGACCTTATAGCTTTATGTTAAGACCCAGCTAATAATTCTGATATATTAAAATTTCCTCAATAATAGGGTAATCCTTTTAAAAAGGCAGAGTCTCCATGCTAGATTGGAATGTATACATCACAGTCTACACAATAGAGGGAGATATGAAAAAATCTGTGGCTCTGTAATATTACAGCCAAGGATCAATTGAGAAAGTAGTATCAAAAAAATCTAGAAGTTTTAAAAAATATTTTTCTACCGTGGGATGTACAAATCTTCCCTTTCCATCAGGGTGACTTCTATACATGCCTCAAATTTCAATTTGTAGACATTTTGTCAGAGGTTTCAATGACCTCTCAGGCTAAATAGAGTTCTTTTTTGATCCTTTCAAAGTATCCTGCATTTTTTCTTCATCACATTTATGACAATTTAATTATATAACTTTTGTGTTGATGAATGAATTTCATACCTATGTCCCTGGTACACTATGAATTTCTAAAAAGAAGGACTGTGTCTTATCAACTGCTGTTAATTTAAGAACCTACGGCATAGGCACCTGGTACTCATTTATTGAATGAATGAGTGGTAGGAAATTTTCTGATGAGCAAAGGTCTCACTCAGTATTTTATATTTATAAGTATCAATATGCACCATAAAATTATTTCTGATGTGTGGATATAGGCAGGCACACTGAGATTGATTTTGAAAGAGAAAACCCCTGGAAAGTTTCAAATTCACCATAAGAATGTAGGCAGAGTTTGAAAGTACAGAATTAGTGGAAAAAAATAATGACCAAATAAAATAGAAACATAAAAGAAAATTGCAGTTTAGGTGTCTTATATTCTCCAATTGCCTCACAGATAGAATTTGTACACTAAAAGTTTTGATATTTAGCCTGAAATGCTGAAGACTATGGTGAATAGTGGGGACCCAGGATGGGAAAGGTCCATAAGTTTGTATCATTAGAATTCTAATAATATAAGATTTGGGGTTGAATCAGAAATAAATGCAACTCTAAATTCTATTGACAAAATTAGGAGTGGTTTATGAAACAATTTATGATCCAGAATAATTGATTCTTTCCCTAAAAGATACCACCTTTTAAAGTGCTAATATTTGTTATACTAAATCTTTTTTTAAGAGAGAGAGAGAGAATTTTAATATTTATTTTTTAAGTTTTCGGCAGACACAACATCTTTGTTTGTATGTGGTGCTGAGGATCGAACCTGGGCCGCACACATGTCAGGTGAGCGCGCTATCGCTTGAGCCACATCCCCAGCCCAATTATACTAAGTCTTAACAATACCTAGTTGATTTTAAGAACTGTGCACTTATTTGCACAAAGAGAAAATTGAGTGAAAACTTACTTACTATCTCACAATTCATCTGGAAAAGTTAATGGCTGGATCATAATGCTACAAAGACAGTTAGAAGATGTTCATGGGAAAGCAAGTCAAAGCCATGAAAATGGCAGTCATATGATTCCATAATCCTGATGTACCCACCGGCACACAACTCAGAAACAGTTCCATAATTTAGGGTGCTTATCTTTAAGGTGGGTAGCACAATCCTGGTTATTTAGTCCTTTTGCATAGCCCTCACATAAAGAAACTCAACCAGGTGAAAAAGGAGGCAATTTCCATCTTAAAAGCTGGATCATCTCTTCTCAGTGGCATGCTTGAGGAGCAGATCCTGGGGTTCCACTTTGGGTTTTGGATATACCCTACACCCTATTATTTCAATAAAGGCTTCCTTCCACTTGACAGGCAATTTCCTTTTCGTGAGTACTTCATTTGTTTAGATGTTCAAGGAATGTTGTTCATTTAGCATGCTACATCTGAGAGCATTTTGAGAGCACACCAGAAGTCTGCCAGTTATTTTGAAAGCTTCGAATACTGCTACAGCAATGCCTTTCATTATAACAATTGGGTTTCACATTTTCAGATCTTAAATATTAGAAGTGTGTGATCCCAGCCTAAGTAAATGAATTCCAACACATTTGTATTCTACATTTGAGAACTTGGTAAGGTAAGGGAACAGAATCTTGTCAGGTTAGTTTCTCAGGATTATCATTTTGTGTTTTATGACTTAGGAAGAGTGACTTCAACTCTCCAGGCTTGATATTCCTCAAGCGTAAAATGGGGTAATAATAGTGTTGAGATTAATATAAATAAATCATGTAAATTGCTTTTAATAGTGCCTGGTAATGGTAGAACTATAAGTGGGAATCTCTTATTATTAGTCTGTATGAGTAGGTATGTGACCATTAATATATTATTGACTGAAGACATGAAATAAAGAATTGAATTTTTTAAAAACTTTAACTTTGTGACTCTAACACTTTGAGGTTCTTTTTCAGTAGAAGACAAATGTCTTTTAATTCCTTCTGTAATTCAGTTTCTCTCCTTTCAGTCTTGTTTCCTTACTTTTCCTCACTAGATTCGCTGTATTGGACAAATCTGCACTTTAATTTGATAGGATTTAATTGGTGCCGTATACTATATTTTTTCATGTTTATTCCTGGTAATATCTAGAGCATTTTATTTATAAGTAGAAAGATTCTGTTAAATTTGGGTGACTTCCAAATCTCCATCAGTGTATGATGAACCTTATATTTATTGGTTTAAAACTTGATCTAATATATGACAAGTTCTATGATCACAAATAATATCTAGAACCATTGTCTAAATTTCTTTCTTTTTTTTTCAGCATGCTGTTTTTAAAAATTTGTTCAGAGTCATTTTTATGCTGCCTTAACAGGTTTTATTTTCTCATACGAATGTTTCAATAAATTATTTTCCAACATAAAGGAAAACTTCATATAATCAGAAAACTCTTGAAACATTGCATGTGCACTCTAATTAATGTTGCCTATCCATTTTTTTTCCTTTTATTTGAGTAGCATCTAAGCGAAATCCCCAGATACACTGATTTTTGTTTTTATTTACAGTGATCAATGCATGTAGATTTGGATCAAAGTATATTAGGATTCAGATCACTCTTTTTTTTCTTTCTTTTTCTCTACAGTTTATTGCTTTTGCTTCCTTATTCTTCATCTTGGTTTCAATCACAACCTTTTGCCTGGAGACACATGAAGCTTTCAATATCGTTAAAAACAAGACAGAACCAGTCATCAATGGCACAAGTGTTGTTCTACAGTATGAAATTGAAACGGATCCTGCCTTGACATATGTGGAAGGAGTCTGTGTGGTGTGGTTTACTTTTGAATTTTTAGTCCGTATTGTCTTTTCACCCAATAAACTTGAGTTCATCAAAAATCTCTTGAATATCATTGACTTTGTGGCAATCCTACCCTTCTACTTAGAGGTGGGACTCAGTGGGCTGTCATCCAAAGCTGCTAAAGATGTCCTTGGCTTCCTCAGGGTGGTAAGGTTTGTGAGGATCCTGAGAATCTTCAAGCTCACCCGCCATTTTGTAGGTCTGAGGGTGCTTGGACACACTCTTCGAGCTAGCACTAACGAATTTTTGCTGCTGATAATCTTCCTGGCTCTAGGAGTTTTGATATTTGCTACCATGATCTACTATGCCGAGAGAGTGGGAGCTCAACCTAACGACCCTTCAGCTAGTGAGCACACGCAGTTCAAAAACATTCCCATTGGGTTTTGGTGGGCTGTGGTGACCATGACTACTTTGGGCTACGGGGATATGTACCCCCAAACATGGTCAGGGATGCTAGTGGGAGCCTTGTGTGCTCTGGCTGGAGTGCTGACAATAGCCATGCCTGTGCCTGTCATTGTCAACAATTTTGGAATGTACTACTCCTTGGCAATGGCGAAGCAGAAACTTCCAAGAAAAAGAAAGAAGCACATTCCTCCTGCCCCTCAGGCAAGCTCACCTACATTTTGCAAGACGGAGTTAAATGTGGCCTGCAATAGCACACAGAGTGACACATGTCTGGGCAAAGACAACCGACTCCTGGAACATAACAGATCAGGTAAGGCACAATTTCAAATGCATGTCATTAAATACTTTATAGACCAGTATGTCCCTTAGGAAGAAGGTAGTTATTCTCATTTTCTGCAAATGTTTATGAGTTTTCAGTCCTATTCCTTCATAAAATGTGTGTTTATGTCAGGCCTGTAGACAACTAGACTGCAGCTTTTCTAAATGAACCCCCAATAGAAGTGAACATAGCTGGTCTATAGAGTTTTCTTGCTTTAGTGGGAATGCCCTTTGCTGATGGTGCCAATATTTTCTTTTGCCTGTTTGTTGCTTCTGTGCCAATGTTTCTTTGTTTCTCTGCACGACGTGATGGTATGATATTGGCCATTTTTCATCCTTCATTCTCAAAACGTTGATCTCCATATCGTTTGGCTTGGTGTGTTTGTCTCAGTTTTATCTCTGCCACATGGTGCCCTGCATCTCAACCTAACTCACAAGAAGCAGTTAATTAAGAGAAATGGATGCTTGCATATCAAAGGCCCAACCACCAAAGAGGTGATATGGAAGATAACTCTTTCAATAACAAATGTCTTTTTTAGTAATATTATGAAGGATTGACTAAATTTTTAACATTATAAAATTAGATAGGGTAACTAAATATAACCCTTTTGGTAAGGTGAGATGGTATGTAATATAATCACACACCATTATTCGGGCACAGATGACCTGCTTTGGATGAACAAAGATGATTTTTTTTTTGTGGATTTCCTTTTTTAATGCACTATGCATTGAGCTCTACTCTATTCCAGGATTGAATTTTGGATAATTTATTGCTTGAGATTAGCTGAATCCCTCCTTTCCTCCATTGCCATAGGTAAACTAGATTTAATTGACTCTAAGGTGACATTCAGTATGCCAAAGTGATAGTCAATAGTGTCAATTCTAGTCTATTTTAACTGGTTCAGATGGAAGGTTTTGTAGAGCAATGGTTTGACTAGTTTCTTATCCAACTATGAAAATTTAAGGTATATGCATTCCCTGTAATTGAAGCAGAATTCTTCATTTTCTTGTAGCAAAAGTGACTTATGATGAGCCCATGTGAATAATTTTGCAGCATTTAGAAATAACACCAATGAATGAAGCAAACAAATAAAAAAAGCAGGTGTTATTTTTATAGGCCCCTCCTTAGCTTCCATGAATTTTTATGAGTCAAACAGAAAAACACTGTGGTGGGAGCTCAATTGCCTTTTAAAATTTTTTAGTCAGAGTCCTTATGTTCATTTAATAGACTGCTATGTGAATTCTGTCAGTATATATCCAAAAACTGTTTAGAATGTCTTCATCAAAGGGGGAGTTTAGTTGGTATTTCTGCTCTCATTAGACAGTTCTCAGAATATGCAGAGCCCTTAAGAAGGGCATGGAGAAAAGAGGACACCCTCTCATCTCGGGTAAGCACTGCAATGACAAGCTAGTATCCAGGCTGATAGGATGTGAAAGTCTTTGGCAAGCATACAGAAGTAAACAGATAGCTATTTCAAGGACATTTGAAGAAGTCTATCTTGTTTCACTCAATGCTCAAAAATATTTTGCTATTTCAAAATAGAGTACCTGGACATAAAGTTTTGTGCTTTGGAATTATTTTTATTAAGATTTTTGGGGAAAATTACTTTCACGAAATTTTCAAGAAAATGATAAAAGTATGTGTCTTAAGGAACTTCAAAAACAATTACTTGAAGAGTTTTCCCCTAACTATACTCCATTTTAAAACAACTCCTATTCATAGTAAATGGCTAGCTCATAACAAATATGTGTGCTAATTCATTATCCCAGTTATTTTGAGTCCATACCAGTTGTGTGAAAGCCAATTTTCTTTTAGACAAAATCCAAAAAAGAGTTACTATTGCAGAAAGAACATTTTTCTCTTTTTCAATATCTTTCCATTTGCTCCATGTAGTTTTTTTTTTCTTTGTGATGAGTGATGAAAATTATTTTTCTTATCGTGATGTGATTATTGTGTTTTGTATATCGAGTGACTGTACTATGGGCATTCAGTGTAAACTCTTTGTACTGTCTCATTTCCTCATCCGTCACTGTCTGTCAATGGGCATGGCGCTGTGACCAGTGTTATCAGGTGACGACAGTACAGGAAGTGAGCCGCCATTGTCACCCCCAGAAAGGCTCCCCATCAGACGCTCTAGTACCAGAGACAAAAACAGAAGAGGGGAAACATGTTTCCTACTGACGACAGGTGATTACACGTGTGCATCTGATGGAGGGATCAGGAAAGGTAGGCATGCATTTAATCAGACCCTAACAGGTGACCTAGCAATTAAGTAAGTTCTGGAAATAATATGAAATGATGTAAAATGCTCATTCATCATTTTCTGGGAAAGACACAGCATATGGTGCTCTTTACCTCTATTACATCTTCTCTCCCTATAAACATTTTGAAATACCTATCATAATAACCTACTTGGTTGTCATCTCTGAAAGGCATTTCACCTTTTTTCTTCCTTTCTTTGGCTTGTCATTTGCCTATGGGAGAAGTTGTAATGTAATATGTAAATATTAAATCACTCATCTAATTATTTTAATATAATGTATTCAACAATCTTTTGAAGTTATCTTTTCATTATGACAAGTGAAACACACTAACTGGTTCTATGAATAAATTTGATAGGCAATTTATGACTAAAAAAAATTATAAGGTATTTTTCTTCTCAAAGTACTGAGCATACTCTAAATCTTTCATCCAATATGTGGGTTGTTTTTGTTAATAGTTTATCCAAATGTCTCAAGGATTTGAAGGTACAAGATCCTTAGCCATATCTATATTTCAATCACTTGAAAAGTCACATCTATATTTGAAAATGTGCGTATAGAATTTTTCTTTAGGACCAATAAACATAATTTTAAGTAAATTACTAGTTCTAATAGGCATTAAATAAGACCTGACACAGAGGAATATAAATATTTGTTGAATTAATAAAAATGGATGGGCAGGTGTTTTTTTAAATAGCATAATAAGAAAACATCTATAATGATTTCTTATGAAAACTGACTAAATTCGAATGAAAAACTACTCAAACTTTCATTTTAGTGCAACTGGATTTTTAAAATAATGTGTATATTTGTTATTCATTTCCGGTTTTCCCTGTTAGTTCATTACCCTTTTAAGTGTACACTATTTATTTTGTGATGGCCTCTTTCTCTTAAATATCTCACTACTTATGTTATACTCCTCTTTCATTTCTTCTGATCATTTGCTTTTACATCTTTAAGGCTCAAAAGAGAGTACAAAGGACACTTTTTTTTTGGTTTTTTGACAAGAAATATTTTGGATTCTTCTCCATTCTAATTACTTTCATTGTTTGTATATGTTACTTAAACCAAAATGTACTTCAATCATCTAAATGGATTTGGTTGTTTACTACTATACATTTACATAATGCAAAGTGTTTAAAATATTTTTGGAGATACTTAGTATCCTACCCTAGTATTTGAGCAACATATATGTACATACATTAAATAATTATAATAATACTAACATACTGAACATACTTTTCTAAGTGAAGTGCACTTCTTAACTTACTATGTATATGTACATGTTTATTTGTGTACATATATAATACATTTTTATATATATGTGATTAAAATACCTACATTTTTGTGCATCATCCAATAAAGTATTATATGCCATGTTCATACCAAGATTATGTATTTAAGGACCTTGCCAGAATTTTACTTCCATTTCAGATAATATTTTGTATTTTAAACTGTCTATAGAAATTATGCAAACTATAAGGTATGATTTAAATCTAAAGTTTTACTGTAAAATTGAAAAGTTTCATGAGCAAAGCAATTAATAAGATATTTAGTTTGCATGGAACAGTTGTACATGCAACCTAATTTCACAAACACAGATTCTTTCTATCAGTGAGAATCTGAAACTTATCCATGAGCTTTTTAGGCTTTGTCATTCCTTATTGTGTCAACTCTTTTTCGTTCTTGCTTATTTTTTTAATAGCTATGTGTTTCTAGACCTAGTAACATTCCTGGTAACTTACTTAAAACATTTTAGTGTGTTATCTTTCATATCTACCATAAATTCATTATTTCTTCTTCTTTTTCCTTTAATGTAGGTTATAAATTCTTTTTTTCTACTCAGAAATTCATTTTGTGTAGAATACCTTCATGTACCTTTAAATTTGTTCTCTCTACTGATTTTATTTTAGAGTTCTAAATCTTCCCCCTTATAATAGTGTATGAAAATTTACTGGACTCCAATTGCATTTGTTTAACCTACAAATATGAAGGTATTTAGGCATAAGTTTTAAGAAAATTTAAAGGTTCCTTTAAAAACAATCTCCTTATACCTACTACCTATGTTTTAATTTAAAAGAAAGCATATTAGCTACAATAAAACTATTCATGGATAGTACATATACAGTAAGTTTTACATTGTTCTAAATAAGCACATGCTCTTAAGAACCAAATAAAATGCATGTCATGTATGCTGATGTGTATGTGGAAAGAGTGTGTTCATATTCCCTTTCCTAATCAGTCCAGCTTTACTCTGTCATAGAGCTCACATTGCAATCTATATCCATATCTGTCTTGGACTCTCATATATCAATGAATCAAAGAAGCCACTTCTCCTCTTCCAGCAAAAGGAGGAGGAATAGCAATGGTTCTTCTCTGGAGGGATTATGAAAAATAATTAAAGAAATAAGTAGCTGCAAATAACATAAAAATAAGCACAAGACTCATTTTTTTCTTCCATGATCAGCAAGTACACTGTGGGCTAACGAGAACCCAAAGAGTATGTTATGTAGCCTTAAGGATACAAAGAGTTCACTGGAATTGTGTGGACTTGATCAACTTTGGTTGCCCAAAAGGATGTTCATTTTCCTGCTCAATAACAATTGTTCTACAGAGTTATAAGAATGTTCATTTCTGAAGCTGTGTAATATGATTTCTATTTTTTAGTCAATAGCTGTCCTCCTTCTAACTTTATACTAGGCACTCCCCATCTCATTTAATTATCTCTAATATTTTATAATAAAAGAAACTATATGTATCCCTTGATGGGGATTGCTTGAGTGGGTAAGGAAAGCCTTTGGGCAAATGTTTGTGAGAGGCTGTTTTGTCCATGGCAATTTTCAGCAAAAGATTAGGAAGAAAGATAATGGCAAGAAAAGGTGAATTAAACTATTATTATTATTTTTTAAAATTCCTGGGTGCAAGGGGAAGGAGAAAAAGTTAGCTGAAAACAGTATGTTGTCAAATTCAGATTTATTTCACTGAAATTATGACTCAATTTATAATTCTTTTACTTCATTTTTAATTTACTTTTAATTTCATCCAGATGATGAGTCCTGGGCATTCCATTCTTTACCACCTGGATAATGGCACTGAATGCCATTATTTAAGAATCATCTTTTTAACCCTATAAAGCTGAAAAAATATATGCTGGAAAAAGATTTGTCCACTTCAAGTTAGGCATAATTTATTAGCTTACTAAGTAATAAAATGAAGAGAAAAAATAGCTCATTTTTTTCTTTTATTTTCAGAAAAACATTCTGAAATTTAAAAACATGAAATCCATATCTTACTTAAATTGCTTTGCCCAATTCCCAAGCATTCTGGTATTCTATACACCAAAATTAGGTCAATACTAGCCATAATGTGGGTGAGAATATTTGTGATAGCTGTTTTAATTTTGGGGGGGATGACATCTTTAGTGAATTTCATTTTTTTAGATTTATAAATTGTTTTAATATTGAGTTCTTTATAAACAAATTCTTTGAGCTCAAAAATAGCACGTTTGATTACCCTGCATGTTTGTCTCTGTCTATTTTCTGGTTGAATTCAACTGACGTCTGTGCATTTTTTCATAAAAGGATATGAAAAATCCCGAAGCTTAAACAACATAGCGGGCTTGGCAGGCAATGCTCTGAGGCTCTCTCCAGTAACATCACCCTACAACTCTCCTTGTCCTCTGAGGCGCTCTCGATCTCCCATCCCATCTATCTTGTAAACCAAACTGCATCAGTCAGCTAAATTGTATTAACTCAAGTACTGTTTACCCCATAATGGAAATAATTAAATGTAGAGTTACTTCAGTTTCCATTAATACAGTGTAAGTCCTGCATGATACTACTATTTGAATTCAGAAATGCCACTTGAGTAGCTAACAAATCTTATTCTGGCTTCAAAGATTATCTAAAGTAGTGCTACTACTTCTCCATATTAATTGCCCTGATTTCTGTTTGCAATAAAATGACAGCTAGTGTCAGATATTGGCCAGTATACTAATACATAACATATTTCAGGGAGATATATTTAAAACAGTGTGCATCCAAATGCCAACCACTTCACTGGAACTTCATTTCTTGTGACTCTAAATCATTCTGAAGATGTCTGGGATCCTATCTCGATTGCACAAAATAATGACTCTGGTCAGCTCATATGCATGGACCATCTTGTCTCTATCATCTGAAAGCAGTGTTGCAGTTTGGGAACTGTGGATGGCTCAGGATATGTGTACGTTCATCGAACCATCCTCCTGATATGAAATCACTCACTGGTCGACTGTTCTGCATGGATTGTGGGACAAGGAGGGTGAATTTTTCCTTGATGTTTCTTTTCTCCGTATTCTTTGATAAAAATATTTGTTTAAAATAGCTTAAGTTCTTAATTGATTGACTTCAAAAGTGCTATATTGGAGTTCTGAATGTCTTTGGTTGTTTGTACACAGATAACTGCAAAGAGGTTGTCATTACTGGTTACACGCAAGCTGAGGCCAGATCTCTTACTTAATGACTTGGGGAAGGCACAAAACATGAGAGAAAGGTAACTGCCAACCAGGCTTGCATTGTTTAGTCAGGAATTACTGCTTGGTACTGGAGTCATTTTCTTTTCTTTTTTTTCCTGTCCCAGAATTTGTCATCATTTTCAGAGACAGAGTGCCAAATATCACCCAAAGCTCTCGTGTCTTTTGGCCCCTTCCTTTATTTTTACTTATTAATTTTTGTGCAAATGTCAAAGGTCACTGGTGTTCACAGGAGGCTTTTTTGACTAGCCTTAAAATTCTGAATCAAAGGACTAATCAGATTTTCATGCAGTGTTTAATCAGGTGCTTTGTCTTGTATGTTGTTTCCGTCTGTCTTAGCTCCCTGTCCTAACTGTATTTGCCATCTGTCTCCATGAATTGTAGAAATGCCTTGGGAAAGTGTTCATGATTTCAGTAGTGGATCCCTCATCCCGTCTCCCTGTCTCCTTTGCTATTTGGAGCAGCCTCTCTGCTTTGTGTACAAATTAACGATGCCCTGTAAACTACCTAAGCTAATCGCACTGTGAAAATTTTCGACAAGCAGGATTTAAGCAGCAATCTCACCACAGCACTTGGTTGCCTGCTGCAGTGTCAGTTTCTACTACCTAGCAACCAGCATTCGTCACTACACGCCAACAAAATCCCTAGGGAGTCTTAGTCTGAGTAGAAGAAAGTCTGTTTACACATCCCTACCAAATGCAATAGCACTAGCGTGTCTGGTGTATTGGGCATGTGAGGGAAGAAAATGCCATAAGATAAACTGAGAAATTAAAAAAAATATATTTTTAAGGCACTTAGGATCCTTGAGATTATAGAGTAATTCCTAATTCTCATGGTTATTTTTTGATAGGAAGACAACTGTCATTTTTATTATTGGCCAAGAAATATCTATTATTCTATATCCCTGAGACCTACAGCATGACCTGCATGTCAGAGATCTTGTACAACAATGTATTTACCCAGACAAAATATCTATATTTAGAGATACTATGATCATTTTGATAAAAACCATACATAGAGTGTTGTAATTACCCACAGATTTATGGTAAAGGAATTAATACGCTGTCTGGTGCTGCTGTTATTGACTGCAGTGTTGTACAGAATTTATCATGGATTTTTGACTGCTGAAAAAGGGACAGTGGAATTTAGCCATACCAAGGATTGTACTGGAAACAGGCTTCTGCTGCAGCATGTGCCCTGATGTGACCAAGTTATACGTGGAGGAGGTCCTCGCGTCTTCACGAGGCTATTAAAGCTTATAAAAGGACTGTGGCTGGAACTCATCTGGTGCTCCCCATATGAGTGTTCTGCTTGTAGGACTGACCAGTGTCCATGAAACAACTGTAAATACCAACACGTATGCATGGGTCAATGCCCTTGGCCATCCCACGTCAAGGGAAGCCAAACTCATGATCAACATCTTTGAAGCTTCAAGTAAAGCCCATGCTGCTTTGAATTACTCCTCATGGGCCTGCTATAGGTTGCGCTGTGAATTATACAAGGCAGTAATACTGATTTAGTATAGGTCTGTTTTAATTTCTCTTATTTCTACTGTATGGGTTGGATTCATAAGCATTGACTATATTGTTCTCTTATAAACCTCTTATGTTACCAGCTTGTCAATTATGTTGCAACCTTTTTACTTGTCTATTTATCAAAACTGACCTATTTTTAGTCACATATTTGTTTCATTCTGGAAAATTGTTATGGCTTAAAAGAAATTCATGAACAGTATTCGTAGTTTTAAGTCTTTTGTCGTTGTTACCTCAATTATAAATATTAAGAAATATAAAATTCTGGCAATGAAAGTATTTTTTTATTAAATGATCAAGGAACAATGTCAGTATATAGCAGTATATTAATCAAATTATATCGTAAAATGTATATTTTGCATAAAAGAGATATTCTTCAATCAATTAATTTTTGTGAGTTTTGTGGCAAATGAAGCTTGTACTTGTCTTTAAAACTGTTGCAGTTGAAACTATATAAGAATTTTTCATCTTGCTTAATCAATATTTCTGGACTCTATTAGTTCCCCTGGGATTCTGAATATAATATATAACCTAACTATGACCCCCTGTATCGTGGACCTTTTGTGAACATTTCAAGATGCATGCACAACCTTGGTGATAACCGATGGACATGTAACTAACTGAAATGAAGAATAAAAGGCAAATGAACTGGGGATGAACTTGAATTTATCTGATTAAATTATTCATATTCTTTCCTTGGCTTCTTTCTTTGTGTTGCAGTTTTCACAGGCTTTACTATTTTTATGTTTTATGGTACCATAACAGACACTCATACATAATAAAGAATTTGTGATGAAAGAATTTCATGCAGCCCTCACTTTCATTCAAGTCTTAGATGTACAGCCAGTGCTTTCCTCTTCCTTTTCCTCCTCTTGCTTGGCTTGCCTAATTTCTCTCTCAATTCTCAGGTTGTAAAACTATTACTTCTTATGCTCTCCAATATTTAGATGGCATTTTATAATTAATAATAAACTTTTACTTAATTTTCCCAACTTAATCATCACTATTCTAGAGCCAAATATTTTTGCTTTCATCTTATTGTTAGTAAAGTTAAGGCTCAGGAGGCAGCACTGTTTATTTATGTGTTTGCCACAGATAATTGTCTCTGCCATCGTTTCTTATGATTTAAATATTTACCGAGCCTCTTGTAAATACTCCGTCATACAGATGGCTTCTGTCTCAGCTTTGGGATATGAACCTCTGTTTCAGCCACATATCACACATAGGTGGACTTCTATTTATATTGTGAGGATACGTGTATATTTGCCTTTTGAAATTCTTTGAAAACATCCAGGAGTAGGAGAAGAATACAATGAAAGAGAAAAAATGTCAAAACCAAGCCTTTCCTGGAACATCAGCAAGATTTTTCTTTATCTAAAAATGTTCAGTGTTGATTATTAAGATACTATTTTTAAAAACTGAGATTAGAGGGCTGGGGATGTGGCTCAAGCGGTAGCGCGCTTGCCTGGCATGCGTGCGGCCTGGGTTCGATCCTCAGCACCACATACAAAACAAAGATGTTGTGTCCGCCAATAACTAAAAAATAAATATTAAAATTGTCTGTCTCTCTCTCTCCCTCTTTCACTCTCTCTTTAAAAAAAAAACAAAACTGAGATTAGAAAAGGGAATATGTCCAAATATAATTACTTATACATTGTTTCTAATGATGGTGTCAAGTAGGATTTACTCTCAGAAGGAAAAATATCTAGGAAAGGGAATGAAGGCATTTGAATAGATGATAATTGCTCTCAAATTTTGATTAAAACTCAGGACTTAATAGTCATGACTGAAAAACGAAGACATTCATTTTGTCTTTGAAATAAATCACAAGACAGACTAATAGACTAGCTATAGTGAACTTATCTTAGAAAGACAATGAATATGTTAACAGACTATTTTACAGGGTCTCCAGAGAATTCACTACATACTTAAAAACATTTAGAGATAGCTGAATCCATTAAAGTATTGAAATTCCTAGGAGTTTAAAATGACTAAAATATGTGGTTAAAAATATATCCTTACTTAAAAAAAGTTCTTTCCCTTTTTTATTCCCAATTTCTAGAGCCCAAATTTAATTATCTACATGATTAAGCATTATTAAATGATAGATCTATACTAATTTTCTCTAACATAGTTCAGAATCCTTAATATTGTTTTAAAATTATATTATTTCCCATTCTCTCTTACACTAACTTTATTTTGAAGATATGTTTCATTATTATCTAATATTAAATGATGTAATTTAGTGTCACATTCTTTCTTTTATTATTCATCACTGTGCAAGTGATTGATGACTAAATATGCAATTTGAACATTAAGATTTTCAAAAAAATCTGACCATCTTCATTGAGAATCCCAGGCAGCGTAACATTTACTTTTTTTCCCTCCTAACATTCACTTTTTAAAATACAATTTAGTTTCTAAAGTAGTTTCAGTTTCACAACAAAATTGAACAGAAGATATACAGAGTTTCATTGTATCCTTGCCACATACATGAACTTCTTTCCCCAATATGAATATCCCACACTACAATAGTACATCTAATGCAATGCAATGAACCTGCTCTTATACATCGTTGCATTTGAAGTCCACAGTTTATGTACACTGTAGACGTTGTACATTTTATGGAATGTCCTATCAAAACTTATGGTTTGTTTCCCAGGGCAACAATGTCCATAGGTGAGGCCTTTGGGAAGTTATTGGATCATGAGGCACCTATTTCATCAATGGATTAATCCATCCAGGGAAATAGACTACCGGGGGTAAGGGGGTGGTATTTAGGCACATGGAGCATAATTGGAAGAATTAGATCACTTCTTATATACATATTTATGTATGTGTGTATGTGTGAGTGTGTGTGTGTGTGGGAGTGTGTGTTTGTGTGTTTTGTATGTGTATGGAAGAAGGGGAGAGATGAGAGATAAAGATATTTATTTTACAGAATTATTCATGTTGCAGTTTGATCTATAAATGATCCCTGAAAACCTCATATTTTGAAAGCATGATCTTCAGTACAGGAAGGCTCAGAAGTAGGAGTTTTAGGCAATGATGACAACTATAACTTCATCAGTGGATTAATCCACTTGGTGGATTAATAGTTTGAATGAACTACAGGGTGGTAGTCCACTGGGGGTGTGTTCTTGGGAGATTATATTTTGTTCCTGGTTGTTTGCACGTAAGTCCTTTCCTCACCTTCCACCATCCTCTCTCTTTCTCTGCTTCTTGGCTGCCAACAGCTGGGAAGCTTTCCTCCATCATGCCCTTCCACCATGATATTCTGTCTGATGTCAGACCCAGGGAAATGGAGTCAACCAACCACAAACTAAGATCTCTGAAACTGTGAGCCCCAAAGAAATATTTTCAAGTTGTCAGGTATTTTGGTCACAGCAATGAAAAGCTGATTAATACAGCTCATGAAATTATGGAGCTGTTATCTGCAAGATGGAGATCCAGGAAACTGGCAGTGTATTTCCAGTTTGGGTGTGAAGGTCTGAGCAAGAAAAATTGGTAGTATAAGTTCTAGTCCAAGTCAGAAGGCTTTAAGACTGGAATGTTGATGCTGTAAATTTCAGGCCAAATCCAAAGACCTGAGAGCCAGTTATGCTTGTGATTCAAGTCCCAGCCTAAGTGCAGGAGAAGACTGATATCCCAAATGAAACCGTCAGCCAGACAGATTGAATCGTTCCTTTCTCTACCTTTTGGTTCCATTCAAGCACTCAACAGATTGAATTATACCCACCCACATTGGGGAGGGCAATCTGCTTTATTCAGTCTACTGATTCAATGTTAATCTCTTTCAGAAATACCCTCAGAGAAACATCTAGAGAAAATGTTTAATCACATTTCTGGCCTAGTCAAATTGACACATAAAATCACATGTCCGTCCAATCCTTGTTACCTTCACACCCAGAAGCATCTCCACAAGTCATACTTAATTTATAAACAAAGACGATACAAAGATCATAATTCTGATTAACATAATGAAAATGAACATCTGTAACCACAGATTCCACAACTGTAGGTTCAACCAACCACAGAATGAAAAAAATATTAGGAAAAACTGCCTCACTACTAAGCTTGTACAGACATTTTTCTTGTCATTATTTTCTGAATAACACAGTGCAACAATGCTCTACATAGCACTTACATTGTATTAGATATATAAATAATGTATAAATTATTTAAAATGCATAGGAAGATTTGCATAGGTTATATGTAGATGCTAAGGGACTTGAACATATGCAGATTTTGGTAACCTGGGGCATAGTGTTTGAAACCAGTCCCTCACCAATACTCTGCATCCATCTGTGAAGTTGACTGTGATAACCATTCTGCTTTCATCTGAAAATATACTACCTTCCTCTCCAGAAGAGGAAGTAAAATTCTTCAATGATAATTATTCTTCTCTTTAGCATCCAATAGCTTAAATACTATAACATAGAATTAATAATACTTAAATATTGTGATATAAAATCTTTGC